AATCCCCTGAACCCTTCGAAGAATTGATATTTCACAATAATTCTTCGCGTCTTTCAGCTTACTCAAGAAACACACACTCTCTTTTCATATCGTTCAAAGCACAAGTCTATAGTGTTTGAAATACTCCTATTAAATTACAAGAAAAGTCTAAATTACATAAAATACTTATTAGACTACATTTAAGATTTGGAAGCAAATTTCAAGTTTCTAGCTCTTATATCTTCTGAGATCGACGCGTTCATACATACGGACGGACTCAGCTTGTCGCCCCGATCAAGAATATATATGTATACTTTGTGGGTTCTGTCAGGCCTTCTTCTGCCTGTTACATACTCTTAACAAAATCATAATACCCTGATTTCCCATCTTCAATGGGTTTAGAGGATAAAAAAAAAACCCGAAGCCGAAGCAGAACGCGCTGAGACGAAACGTTTCCAAGAATCCTTTTTACAGCTTTCAACTTATGCAGAAAAACCCATTCGATACGTACTTTTAATTTATATATGCAAAGATTTATGCGATTTATGAAAATGCCAGACACACACACACACACACACACACACACCTATGAGGCATTTGTATCTTTGCTCAATCTGAATTCTCGAAACGCATTCCGATTGCTGCTCCATTCTCCATTCTTGAGAAAAACAAACTATATTTAGCCTTGGTCTTTCAGTCGGAACTGAATCTGAATCTAATCGCCCATTTGAATCCTCGAATTCCTTTGGATTTGCATATTTTCTTCGTAGAATTCGAGCCAACGAAAATGTCTATTTAAAACACTCTCGGAGGCCAAATGCATCTACCTCAGCCAGCCGCGCGGTGAGCCTTAGCCACAAATGGGTTTTCAGAGCGCAACCAAAACATGATATTAGTATAAATGGGCTAGTGTTACGGCAGTGCTGGAAATGCCAAAAGAATGCATGCACATATGTATGTATATGGATGGGATGCACACTTGCCACACGCGAAGCGTGACAATTTTCCCCTCAGCGAGTACGCCTTGGGCAGAGAGACTAGTATCTTTGGTAGCTCGAAGCTCAGCTGATAGATGGCTGACGATGAGATAGATGGATGAGAGCAAGAGATGAGATTCAGATAAGATCTAACTGCAGGGCCACTGGCCAGACCTAGGCCAAGTCTGAATTGGATTTGTGGCACTGAGCCCCTGCCAAAGCAATTTCAAGTGCAGACACCGATGCAGATGCAGATACAGATGCAGATACAGATGCAGATACAGATGCAGATACAGATAGATCTTTGACAAATGACAAGGCAAAGTGTGTAACTGGAACCAGGTCCAGAGCTGTGACACAATTGCCTCACATATTGTATGACAGCTAGAGCAGTGCATCAAAGTGCCCGACTAATAGATACCCTGTGCAACAGTAATTATCAATGCTGCAGGATGTTGTACTACTCATTATATTACATCTGTCGTGCAAAACAGGAACTCAGGCTCTTAAGCTCTACGACTCGCATTCTTTAAATCGATATTTATCGGTATCGAAGATCTCAACTTGCCTTTGCCAGCTAATATACCATCTCTCTAGCATTTGCAGTGCGTATCACAACAGCAGCTTAGACAAGAACCAACTAAGACAACTGTAACAATAATAATATGAAACATAGAAGAAAGATAAATAGACATCAAGAGTGTGACAGAGACAGAGACAGCGACAGCGACTGAAGATTGAGCTTGTGTTTTGAGATCCAAGATCCGAGACTTGAGACTAGCGACTTGAGTCTGGACATGGACATGAACATAATTGGCATTTTGTTGCATTATCCACAGATCTGTTGCTCAGCTGAGCGCTGCATCAGGTGAGAGTTATGCGCTGTTGTTAATTAACCATTTACGGCCTGATTGCAGCGACAGAGACAAGCCAAACAAAACTGACACAAAGATCAACAAACAGACAGACAAGCGAACAGCCGGACAAACGGACAAGTGGACAGCCATTAGAGAGAAGTGTAACGAGGCCTGTTTGTATTTATGTACATATACATATGTATCTCACTCTAAGGTGTCGCACAGGCAGGCCATGGAGATGCCTTAAAGGCTCAAAGTCAAATGCTTAACCCCAGGAGTTGAGTATAAAGATAAATATGTATATTATTTAAGCTTTGCCTAATCGATACTAAGCGAGTCGATAACATGCCAGCTATCGATAAATAATAATAGAGATATATATATAATAGCAGTAAATTATAGTTTAGTGTTATTGATTCTCGATGTTTCTGGATCAACAAGACAACCGATTAATCGATATCAGCAATTAGCTATCGATGTCCTTGGAAAATTGATATTAATATTGGACGAGTCGATAATACGCCAGTTATCGAGCAATAAAGCTAAAGATAAACTTAACATTGGAGTAAATTTGCATTTAGTGGTAGAAGATTCATCGATAACCACATCTAAGTATCCGCCGCAAAATCTTTAGACTTTACCTAGACTCCTAGGTTCGATCAAAGATTTGGTGTGAAAAAGTTTTCATAGCCTATCGATAAACGATTAATCGATCAATTGGATTAACTAAAGGAGATCAAATTGATCTTTCAGCTATTTGCATTGAGCTGCACTCGAAACCCATTCAAAACGTATTAACCAAGTGTTGAAAATAATTCGATAAGTTGTAAGAATGGAAATCGATAAATTCATAAGAAATTCCCTGATTTCACTACTTACATTCCTTGTGATCGTTACAAAAAGAAAACGAATGACACATATGTATATATATTTCTATATGTCTCTGTCTTTGTCTTTGTACAATACAGTGCAACACGCACGATCAATCCATTCGATGTATGGATATCAACCGGAAAACTAACTCGCTCGACTGCAGCTCGAAAGTGCGGCACGACTTTTGTCTTCTTCGTTTTTGCATAGGGCAAAGAAGGGCGGGCGGGTCCCAATCACGATACACATTTCAACAGGCATACGTGTGTGTGTGTGTTTAGTCGTAAATATATCTGAATAAGTACATTAACAGTTGGCAACGAAACGGGTCAATCAACTGCCCAACTGCGTTGGGTGCGCACATTTCATCGCTGCCCGCCGGCCCCCCCGTCGTCTGCACCAACTGTCGAAAAAGCAAAAGAAACAAAACCCGGTTGGTTGGCTTCCCCCTAGCCAGCCGGCTGTAGCTGCCCACCGGTTGGCCAAGTAGATAGCACGCACGTGATCTGCAGGCCGAGCACACACAGCGGCGAGCGCACCAAATCTGAATGAAGAATTTATGAATGGAGTTGCCACAATGCGTGAGCGAATTGAGTCGTGAGTGTGCGTGCGTGTGCGTGTGTGTGTATGAGTGTGAGTTGAGTGAATTGCGTGTGCTTGGCATGCTGGAGGATTAATACGGCTAGCCTAGCTATAGCTAGCATGCACTAGGCGCAATCTACGACACAAAGATACAAATGTATCTTTGTATACCCATTGAAAATGAGAAATCAGGGTATAATGGGTTTATTGAAATGTATGTAACAGGCAGCAGGAGGCATGGCAGATCGATATATATATTCTTGATCAGGGCGACGAGCTGATGGCTGATATAGCTCTGTTCGTTTGTCCGTATGTATGAACGCGACGATCTCAGAAGATAGAAGAGCTAGAGACTTGAAATTCGATTTGTTGAAATGTCCGTATATATAGCGCGCATATTAAGTTTATCGCAAATCCATCGACAAGAAAAGTTGTTAAGCAATTCGATTTTCAAGATATGTATGTTTATTGAAATATCAATTGCTCGAAGGTTGCAGGGAATCTCGTAGTCGAGCAGGCTCGACCAGAGCTAGCTTACTTGTTGATTTTAGCCTGCGCACGTGCTGCAGCAGGCGCATCGCAAAACATTTATCGTTTATCGCAACAATCGCACAATAACACAATTTGCCAACTCTCTCTCTCTCTCCCTTTCTCTCTCTCTCTTTCTGTCTCTGTCTCTCTCTCTCTCTCTCTCTCTCTCTCTCTCTAGCTGTCTATTTATGTGCGGCATGCGAAATGGCTTTGCACTCTGTGGCATGCATATATATTGTTGCAAGCAAAGGTTGGCTACTGTGCAAACTGCATCCGCAGTGGGATTTTTCTATAGATGTATCTGTAGCTGCAGCTGTATCTATATATATATTACTATATATATGTATATGTATATGTATATATGTGACTGTATCTGTATCTGCTTTGGCACGCATGTCTCGAGCTGCGACGCTCTGACGCATTGTCTGAGCGTGGCTCAACAACTTGAAATTGTGGCATAAACACGTTCTACGATTTCCGGCATGAGTGTTGGCGTTGTTGTTGTTGTTGTTGTTGCTGCTGTTGTTTGTTAGTTTCATTGATCATCATCATTATGCGCACTAATGCGGCTCATTGCTATCTGTCTCAGCCCTCACCCCCCACTCCTCACCCCTCAGCCCGCATCCCTCACTGGCTGACAGGTAACAACAACCCCAATTTGACCTCTTGACCTAATTGTAAACGTTTTGATCTCTCTACCATGATCGACACTTGCACTCGCACGCCGTTGCAGCTAATGAATAACACTCTGAAGCAACACTTGCCAAAATAGCATGATTTACGAGCTCTTACAATGGAAGATGGAAGCCACAACACTCGCACTTCATTCAGGTAAGACTTGGCAGACGTCAAAATCTCTATAAATTGAACACTCTATTTACAAAAACTGAAACAGGTAAAGCCCCATCAGTTCGTGAAAAAAGTGTGCAAAAGTTGTGTTGAGTTGAGAAACTCTAAGTATTGAAAATTACTATAAAAGCTCTATATAATATCGGAATTTCTTGTAAAAGACTGTAGATTATATTGTATTATCTAAAATTATTGCATAGAATCTCTACATCAGATCTATATATACAACATGTATGAAATTATTGCAAAAGATTTTTAATGCATTTCATACAACATTTTCGGACTTATAGTTCATACACGACAAAAAATCCCTTAAGCTGCGATACTTGATTTGATATAAACACTTTTCCATATAGGGAAGCTCTCTATGATATATACAAACGAGCATTACTTTAAATATTTGAACATCAGGAAGTGTTTAGAAGCTATTTGCCTCAAGATATATGCATCTTTCTATTCTCGATTTCAGCAAGGAATCTATGCCAAAGATAAATGAAACAATTTCAGGAATCTTCATCGAGGCCATATATTAGCAGCATTCGAACAGGAAATTGTAGCACTGCTCGTTTAAAGTTTGATTAAATGTTATTTATAGTTTATGGCGAAAAAAACAAAAAAAAAACACAACCAAATAGAAGTGTATTCCCACAGTGAAGCAATATATTTATAAATAACTGTTTAGCCTTGCCAAAGTGTCAAATTTTAAAGGTCTTTTACCCGCCGACATATGCTTGAGTCATTGATATATTTGTGTTGCTCTAGAACAATCAATTGGTGAGCGCGACTTTATTTAGGGGCTACACAATTCGATTAGTGAAAAGAAAGGGAAATACCGAGGGAGACAGAGAGGGAGAGAGACAGAGAGAGAGGGCAAGATAGTGCCAAAGATTGGGTAAACTCTGAGCCAGGGCCCACAATCTAACTGCAAGATCTCAAACAGTGCGACCTTAGGCGACACAAACCGAGTCGAACAAGTGGTTCGCGCGCTCAACTGATCGTGAATTAAATAAAATAAATAAATAAAAAAAATAAAAAAAAAAAATTACTTTCGATTTTAGTGGGAATCGTTTTAGTAATTAATTTATGACTCTTGAGGGCAATTACATTTTGAGGGCATTTTTGTTTTCTTTGAGCTGAAAGAAAGGGCCCAGCGCAGCGGCGATCAAGTTTCAAGATCGTGCCAACTATTGGAGGACGCAATCATCTTCAATCATTAGCCAAAGACCAGAGCATATATAACATCATTTGTGATAATGATCGAGCAATCAAAAAAACAGCCGGCCAATTGCCAATGGCCAATGGCCAATGACCAATGGCCAATAGCATGTCAAATGATCTGGCCAAATGGCCTAGACAGCGCCTAGTTGACGATAGCCCAAAAAAAGAAGAAAAACAAAAACAAATAGAAAACAAAATTAAAAACTTGAAAACCCAAAACAAAGCCAAAGACCCTAGCGCACGCACTTCATTTGATTTAGGGGTCTTGGACGCGAGAAAAAAAAAAAGTGTCCCACGAGAGGCCCACATAAAACATAATCAACATAATAAACATGCCAACGGCATTATAATGAACTTGTGCTTGAAACACGAAAGCGAACAACATACGAACATCAAACAAATTCACAACCAATTTCAATACCAATTCCAATCCCAATTCCAATTCCAATTCCGATTCCAAATCGAAGCCCAGCAGGCCAACGACATGGCACTAGCAATTAAAATCGCTTTTCGAGGGCTTTTCGATGTAATGTAACACGCATAGAAAGTTTAATTTCTGTTTTTTTTTTTTTTTGCCTTTGTCGTTGGTCAATTCGAAATTCATTTGTTGCATAAGATTCTGTACATCAACCTGCTGGAGCTTAAAGTCTCGGCTAAAGAAAATCAAGAGAAGAGAACTCAACAGCTATGTAAAACTCATTTAGATATTTTATGGTTCTACGAGGTTGCCTAATTTTTTATTCGCTCCATCTAGCTTGCTATGATCAGTTGATATTCAATCGATCATATATATTACATATATTTAATAGAAGATCCTAATCTAAAGTTGTGTTCTAGAGATTTCAGTCGATCTCAAGCTGAGAATAGATTGTTCTTTGCCCGTTTATCAAGATCCAAGAAGCATATAACAAAAACTAGTGAATTTACTATGTATATTGAAATACGTTTGTAACGGTAATCGATAACACACTCGATTTATTATCGATATCATTCAAGGAATTGATTGGTTGGCTATATATATTGAAATAAGATTGTAATGATAATCGATAACACACTCGATTTGTTATCGATATCATACAGTGAATTGATTGTTTGGCTATATATATTGAAATTCGTTTGTAACGGTAATCGATAACACACTCGATTTGTTATCGATCTCATTCAGTGATTTTATTGTTTGGCCATATATATTGAAATACGTTTGTAACGATAATCGATAACACACTCGACTTGTTATCGATATCACACAGTGAATCGATTGTTTGGCTTAGTTTCCCGGCATGTATCGTTATCAATAACTTTATCGCTTGCCATTTCCGCAAACTCTTTGAACATTCGCATGCACAACGCGTCGATCCAGAGGCTGTTTGCTATATTTGCCAACGCCCAACGATCGCTGCATTAAAGCGCGATGTTATCTATATATATGTATATGTATGTATATGCAAATATGCAAATATATATATATGTACATTATATACCATATTGTTCCGTCATATTTCATTGGCAATTGCCGCGATCGCCCTGCTGACAGGAGAGTTGACAGCTAATAGGCAACGTCGTCGCCACTGCCAAGCGCCAATTGCAGAGAGAGAGAGAGAGAGTGAGAGAGAGAAAGAGAGAGCTGAAAGGGAGGCTGGTTAAATATTGATGATAATACAAGTTGAAAATATCGCAGAGACCCAAGTGAGCCGATTAATTGCCGGCAACGGCGCATGCATAGATAAATATTAATATGAATAGAGTCTATTCCACCCCAACAAGCGAAACACACACTCACACAAACACACACACACACACTCATACACTCACTCGCTGCTTGTAACGAATGAGGCAAAGCCCAAACGAATTGCGCAGCGATAAATTACAAAGGAATTCGTAACGCCCAACGGTCAAAAAATTGAGGCGTAACGAGGCGCTAAGCTAAACCGTTTCTGAGCAAGTACCGTAAACTCGATTATAATCGGCAATAAGAATCTATCTATATTAGTTGATGTCGCCATGTGTAAGTGGGATTTGCATTGATTTATTTTGAATAGTTCGCCTGAAGTGTATATATGGGAAGAGACGACGGTAAGTGCCCGAACTGCAATATCTAACCCATTGTATCTCACTGTGTGTCTTTCTCTATATATATATACATATATATCTAGCTCTTTTTATGTAAATCTCTCTCTCTCTCTCTCTCTCAATTTAGTCAACTGTCTTTCTCTTTCGTTCTTGCCTTTATATCTTTGTCTATGTTTCCTTTTCGCTGTCTATCTTTCTGCTATTCTAGCTGAACTTCCAGCTAACTGACATTCTCTTCTATGGAATAGCCTCCTCAATCGAGTGAGTTCTCTATATATATCTCCCTCTTCACTCTGTCTATTTATATATATACATAAATATCTCCACCTATCTATCTTTGATTCTGTCTTTCATTTCTCATTCTCTTACACTCTCTTCTCTTTCTCTCTCTCTCTCTCTTTTTGTATATGTCCCAAAGAGATTATGTCTCCCTGTCTCATTCTCTATTATATTTCGTCCTCTTTGTGCTTATCTGTCTTGTATCTCTATCATACTCCTCTTGATTCTCTCTTTTCTCTCTCTCTCTCTCTCTCTCTCACTCTTTCTCTGATATTGTTATCTCTCGCTTTCTCTCATATTCTCTCTCTCTCTCTCTATCTCTGTCTCTGTCTCTCTCTGTCTCTGTCTTTGCAAAATAAAGATATTCAAGACAATTTTCCATTATTCCCGTCGGTTGCTCCCCACTTCACTGCCTAATCTCTCCCCCTCATACTCCCAGCTCCAATACTCCGCACTATAGAGCTCTTGCATACATACTATATATTATTCACTTAGTCGCTTTGCGCTGTGCGAAATTATTTATGCAAATTGTATGCGCAAAAGCGAAAAGTAAATAAAAATGTTTGCATTTATATTGATAACAACATAAATGAGTGTCTGTCTATGTGTGTGTGTGTGTGTGTGTGTGTGCGTGTGCATGCATGTGTGTGAGTGCTTAATGCACTTTAAGTTTTTGCATTTGCAACTTGAAACGAATCGAGTCGAGCTCTGGCGCTGGCGCTGGCGCAGGCGCTGGGGGCGTCCACAGCGAACGGGGGCGTTGTCGTCGGCATTAGTCAAAGGCATTTGGCTACCGATTTGTTTTACTTGCAACTTCGACATTGGCGGCAATTGTTGTTGTTGTTGTTGTTGCTGTTGTTGTCGTTCTTGAGCTGCGCATGCGCAAAAGCCAAGTCGACGACGACGACGACGACGACGCCGCACCGCCACCAACATCTATCGAAATTGTGTATCTTACGGCCCGACGCATAGTTGGATAGTTGGTGCAACTAATGAGGCTGCCACAGCTACATGCTACATGCCACACCGCATGCCGCATGCCGCATGCCACTTGGCTGGGGCAGCCAACATGTGTCAGCATAATTAAACAAATCTACACACATGACCATTAACCGATATACGCATACATACCTATATATATAAGGTAAGTATATATAATATATATATATACATATGTATATATAAGGTATGAACCACCAACAGACTTTACCGATTAACCAGATTGTCGACCCGTTGATTTCGCATACCCTGCAAATGCAATGAGTGCATGCATAAAACGCATACGCATATGAAAGACCAAAACTATCGATATATATCGATATTGAAGCACTAGGCACACACTTCTTTCATCACTTTCAATGAGCAATAAGTAAGCCATATATAGCATTATAAAACATATAAACATATCGATATATATCGATATGTTCGATTATTATCACTTTTAGTACATTTCAAAGAGCTAGAAAGCACAAATGAAAACCTTTCAATAAACACACCCTACGTTTCTATGGATTCTACTATATCTCGATATATCTCGATTTTAAACGCAGCACCCATAACAGCAATCGATATTTAATTTCAACATCTAGTTTACTTCAGATACATATGTCTGAAAGTGTTGGCAGATACAAGCTCAAATATTGGTCCAGATTGATAGCTATCGAACTATCGATATATCGATATTTGACAAATATCTACCGCATTTACAATTGTCAACTCTAGCAATGGCATTTTCAACGGTTCCATCTTCGACTGGTATGCATGCAGGGTATCTGCTCGTCGGGCATTTGCAAGCCGATGTTGATTTGTTGTTGTTCGCTTGTTAATTAATGCAAAGGCAATACGAAAACAACAAATAAAAAACGCACCACGACAAGTTTCAGTCACTAAATTAAACTTTTCAAATGATTTAAGCCAAATGCCACTTTGCATTCAGGGCCATCGACTTGGCCACACACGCACACACAAACGGACAGACAGAGAGAGAGCGAGAGAGAGAGCGAGAGAGAGAGAGAGAGAGAGAGAGACATGTGAGCTGCAGACATGGAAATGGGCGTCTGGGCCCAGATATATCTGTAGCTGTAGCTGTAGCTGTAGCTGTATCTGTATCTGCGTCTCGCTGCTGCGATGCCTTGACAAGTCAATTTTAGTTTTGTCTCTAACGGTAACAAGCTGTTGACAGAGCCAGCCAAACGATGGATGGGGAGCCAAGGGGATGCAGCACGTACATATGTGTCTGCTGCAGTTGCAGATGTTTAAATAATCTTTTAGACATCATTGACTGCCCGCCTAGAAGCCCAAACTCAATCAACGGGCGGTCCATCTCAAGAACTGCAGCTGTAGAGCAGCAAAACTCTAATTTAATGAGCCCCGAGATCTCTGAATCTACCAAACATGGATGATTGATGCATTTAATGATAGAATATAGAATATAGAATATAGAATATAGAATATAGAATATAGAATATAGA